TTCTAAACAGAGTAGGAGCTAAAACTCAGTGCTTTGCATTCTTAAAAGTACTGTGTCAACCAGTTCTTCGTTCTGAGCGTCTCCTTAAGTGGCATGCAAACTTGTGGCCTGTGATTTCAACTGTATTTTATCAAGACTGAATCAAAGTATCTGGGGCTTACAATTTTTTTATGTTTGCAGCACTTACTATGGCCGGGCACAATGCCAAGTGTTTTGCTTTTATTATCACATTTATTTTTCACAACAACTCAATGAAGCAGGTACTATTATTATCCTCATTTTGTAGGTGAGGAAACAGGTTTACATACTTTGTCAGCTTGTCCAAGGTCACCCAGTTTAGAAGTGGCAAGGCTAGAATTTGAAGCCAAATATGTTCACCATAAAGTCTGTACCCTTAAAAGTCATTGCATCTCCATGTATAGAAACTGACATGGAGTTTAATGGTGGTCACAATCAGATATTGTTTTCTCTTTAGGGATTCAGGTTTGTTCAAGTGACTCCAAAGTTCAAATATTCAAAAAATCAGTTTCCAACACAGAGTATATTAAAAAGTTTGCCTGAAGGGACTCTAGGTGCAGAAATAAAGACAACTTATTGAAGTGAAGGAAAACAGTATCAGACTTAGAAAAGGCTGTCTGTATTGATGGAATAAGTGTATTAATTGGAGCAGGTAATGATGAGCCCTCACAATGTAAACCATATTCTTTCCTAAAAGCTCACAGCAGTTCATGTACTACTTTCCATCCCATTCCCCAGCAGATGGTAATTGATTCGGGAACAGAACATTTCACTGAAACAAGTCACTGGAGGTTCAGAGACTCTGCCGAAGTGGTTAAAAGCCCAGGATCTAGAGTTAGATTGCCTGAGTGGAGTCTTGGCTCCATCCCCGAGATCTCATGTGACTTAAGGCAAGGTACTGCTCTATGCCTCAGTTTCCTTATCTTTAAATGGAGCTAATCACAGTACCTACCTCATAGGATTGTTGTGAGGATTTGATGAGGTGATAACCTGCAAAAGCACTTGATAGAGTCTTAACAAATATTAGCTATTATAACATTATTGCTATTATTTGTGCCCCAGTTGGCAGCTCCAGGAAGTTGGGAAGGAATGTCACTGCATCTTGAATGCCAGTTATAGAGAGCTCACTGGGTGGCCACCAGAGCACTTTAGATGCATATATCCTGTTTGATTTTCATATCAGCCCTGTAAAGTGGTTGGGGTTAAGAATAGCCCAGGTTGGAGCTACTCTTGGGATCACAGGGGAAGCAACAGCCTTTGTAAGCTGTTTGTCAGCGGGTCTCAGCAATCAAGCTCCAAGTGAACAAAAAGATGGGCTTCTGTCAGCATCTGTTCAAAGGTTCACTTTATGGGTGCAAACTTCTGGGCTCTGAGAATGGATTCATAGCAGTACTTCTATTTTGAAATACCTTTGCTTTGTCCAAGTAACCTCCTCCCACACTGAGTACCAGAATCAGCTCAGATTTTTTCCTTAATACTGGCAATGCTTTAATGCTACTTCTTTGTTTATAACATTAATTATTTAAAAATCTGCAAAATGTTGTGTATATTTTACCACAATTAAAAAAAATCTCCAAGTGTTAGACCACACTCTAGCATTTCTAAAAATAAAAGTAAACATGTTAAAATAAGAGTGAGTTTTTGCTACATTATATATATTTTTTAATTGAAAGTTTCCCCCACAAAAGAAATGACACTGCAAACATAGTTCATGTGTTTAACTACAAGGTTCTGTTAGGCTTCCAATTTCCCTCCTCAATAGAATTTTTATTATACATTGTCACAAACTGAAGTAAATAATTAGGATGCTGTTGTAAGCAAATTACCTACAGATAAATGTTTTATGGATCTCCCTATCTCAGTTTATTAAATTCTGAGGTATTGAGCAATTTCCAGCGTGAAATCCCAGCTGGCTTCTTTGCAGAAATTGACAAGTTGGTCATAAAATTCATATGGAAATTCAAGGAACCCAGAATAGCCAAATCAATCTTGAAGAAGAACAAAGTTGGAGGACTCATACATCCCAATTTCAAAACTTCCTATAAAGCTATAGTAATGAAAACAATGAGGTAATAGAATTGTGAGTCCAGGAATAAATCCTCACATTTATGGTCAATTGATTTTGACAAGGGTGCCAAGACCATTCAATGGGGAAAGAATAATCTCTTCAACAAATGGTAGTGGGAGAGCTGGATATCCCACTTGCAAAAGAATGAAGTTGGACCCCTATCTCACACCATATATCAAAATCAACTCAAAATGGATCGAAGATCTAAATGTAAGAGGTAGACCTATAAAACTCCTAAGAGAAAACATAGGGGTAAATCTTCATGACCTTAGATTTGGCAGTGGTTTCTCAGATATGACACCAAAAGCACAAGCAACTAAAGAGAAAAATAAATTGGACTTCATCAAAATTTTTTAAATTTTGTGCTTCAAAGGACTCAAAGAGTTGGGAAAAAAAAGCCCACAGAATGGGAGGAAATATATGCAAATCACATCTGATAACAGAATTATTAATATATCTGGGATACACAAAGAACTCTTGCAACTCAATCAGTTGTAAGCTGGTTTTAAAATGGGCAAAGGATCTGAATAGACATTTCTCCAAAGAAGATATACAAATGGCCACTGAACACATGAAAAGATGCTCAACATCAGTAATCATTAGGGAAGTGCAAATCAAAACTATAATGAGATACCACTTCACACATACTAGGATGGCTATAATCAAAGACAATACAAGTGCTGCCAAGGATGTGGAGAAATTGTAACCCTCATACAATGCTGGTGGGAATGTAAAATGGTGCAGCCACTTGGGAAAGTAGTTCCTCAAAAGGTTAAACATAGAGTTATCATGTGACCCGGCAATTCCGCTCCTAGGTGTGTACCCAAGATAAATGAAAACACACATTCACACAAAAACTTACACACAAATGTTCATAGCAGCATTATTCATAATAGCCAAAAAGTGGAAACAACTCAGATGTCCAATAATGGATGAATGGATAAATAACAATGTGGTATATCCACACAATGGAATGGTACTCAGCAGTAAAAATGAAGATGGAAGTACTGATGTACTACAACATGGATGAACTTTAAAAACACTGTGCTAAGCGAAAGAAGCCAGTCGCAAAATACTGCATATATATGATTTCATTTATATGAAATATACAGAAGGAGCAAATCTATAGAGACAATAGATTAAGTGGTTGCCTAGGGGTGGGCGGCTGGGTTGGGTGCCGGGTTTCTCTTTCAGGTGATAAAAATGTTCTAAAATTGTGATAATAGTTTCGCAACTCTGAATATGCCAAAATTCATTGAATTGTACACTTTAAATGGGTGAAAATTGTATGATATGAACTTTATCTCAATAAAGCTGTTACAAGACAAAAATTTTCCAACATGAACAATTATTTGGAGAACCTTTATCCCCGCTTCACACTGTTTCATTCTTTCCTTTCTTCCTGAACCACACTCTTACTCGCCTCCTGTGTGCTGTGCCAGCTGTGGAAGTCCTTAACTCTGAGGCTGTTGCCATTTTGTCTAACAGTCCGTGTTGTGATACGAGTTAATTCAACTTTCCAAATAAAGGGCTCCATTCAGGCATTCTGTCCAAAATAGATCTATCCACACATCCTAAGAACAGGGATAGGTCCCTCGCCACACCCCAAAGTGATATGTTTATATTTGAGAGAGAAGATTGGGCAGGGAAAAGCATTTTTCCAGGCTTAAGCATACAGCATGGGCGTTAGAAAGATGCAGGGTTGAATATAGTTACCAGACCCTGAAAACACCAGGGAGGAGATTGGGGCTCTTAGGAGGCCGCCTGTTCACAGAGAAGGTGAGCATGACGTCCTGGATCCTCTTGGTGTGAGTCTGTTCATTTGCCTCGGCATTTGAAAACAGAAAGGAACTCAGAGAAATGAGCTGCTAGCAAAGGCTACGCTGTGTCCAGGGCCGAGACAGTCTTTAGATGCCCCAGCGTCTTTGGAGTGTCCTCATCCTCTGATCCCACCTCCTCTCAGCTCCTGCTTTCCGTATACCTCTCTTGCCCCCACCCCCATGGCAACAGCCTCTCCCAGGGAAGGGCCTGAAAACTCGGGCTGAGCTATAAATGACAAATGAGACTTAAACTGCCACCCTCCCAAGCTCCCTGCTTAGCCTCCTTCAGGAACGGAAGGCTGGGCCAGGCCCATTCCTTCCCAAAGAGGTTTCCAGCATCAGGAGCAGATATGTTTGTGTGTTGGAGGGCACAAGGCCTCCTGGGAAAAGCCACATGGTCCTTTCATGGCGTGAGTCCTGACCACTTCCTGCAAAGCATGTAGTCAGCTAATGGGCCTCCTCCAAGTAGCCAGTGGGAGCTCCTGGGCCAGCTGTTCTCAAAATAAGTTTATTGAAAAGTGGTAGCCCTAGATAAAGGGAGATTCTGGTGTGTTCTGGTCATTTGGGGTTCCAACATATGGGGAAACTTTGCTGCTTATACATGTAGCCTGTCCAGTGTACTCACCCAAATGGTAACCACAGACTTGGGGGATTTGCCCGAATGGGTTGCAGAATGGAGCTGTAAGGAGAGCTCTGGACCCTCCCCAATCCCTGCGTTCACGGGGGTGAAAACTCAGAGGAGGGAGCCTCTCCTACCTTGGGCATTTGGGTGTTTGTCATGTACAGGCTGTCAAGAGACCAAGACTATGGTGTGACATACCACATTCATCCCTGCCACCCAGTCACCCTTGAAACCTTCAGCTGCCTACATGGTGCTCCAGAGTCCTCTTTGGCCATGATTTAATGAAAACTTGGAGAAACTGCAAGCCTGCTCCCCTTCCACATTCAAAGCCAGGCTTTATGAAACCATGTGTTCCTGGCTTGAATGTGGTAAAGCAAAAGAATTTTCAAATTATCAAGGCTGCTTTGTGTTCCCCTGGGAGTGCACCTTTCACAGTGTCACCGAGACCAAAAAACGCAATGTGAGCAGCAAATTACCCCTGCTACTTAGGCTTTTGTAAGAAAATCATTTTAAGGGACATTTTCTTTGTTCTTTCTTTCTCTGGCCCTGAATGGGGAATAAGTTCATTTTGCTTTTTCTTTCATTGAAATCGGAAACTATATCTTTTTTAAAAAGTGAAATATTCTCTACCCAGCTCTGCATTTAAAAGTGCTTTGTAAAATCCAGCCCCGTGCCTCCCAGTGGTGTGTCAGGCGTCCCCCGCACAGGCCCACTCTGTGCCCACCACCCACAGGCGGGCAACGAGCTGAGACAGGTGTCAGGCACACTTGCTGACACACTCCAGCAGCTCCATCCGGATGGCGATGCGGACATGCCAGCCCAGCGGGATCAGGCGGATGAAGCGGGAGATGATAGGGGGTCGCAGCAGGTTCTGGACTGTGGAGGTTCGGTCCGAGTTTCCATAGAAGACCTAGAGAGAGAGAGGAAATTCTATCACCAGCACATCAGGGGAGAAAGAGGGAAGAACAATTCTTGTCTGGAGCTAGCCCCAGATTTTAACATGGAAAATCTTCGCAAGTGGTTAAAGTGCAGAGAATTTGCAGGTGACCCCCAAAATCTGACCTTGAGTGACTGTCAACACCCACACACTCAGGGTATCTCTGCGTCACTATGTGGGGACATCTGGAACTGCATCATCCCTAATGGTAGCCACTAGCCAATGCATCTATTTAGATGAATTAAAATCAGATTAAAAAGCCAGTTCCTCTGTCACATTAGCCATATTTCAACAGCTATGTGTGACCAGTGACCGCCATATTGCACAGCAAAGATAGGAACATTTCCATCATCACAAAGTTCTGTTGGATGGCACTGATGGAAATGCTTCTTGACTCTTCTCACCAATTTTGTGTATTTATCCTTTGCATTTTGAGAAGAAGTTTAGAAAAAGCCCACATCACACTTAAAAGAGGAAGGTTCCCATGTTCCAAAGGTAGCCAAAGTGGGGCTCAAGTAAAAACTCCAGCCTGGCTCTAAAGCTGTGAGCCAAAGCTTAAGTGTGTGTCCCTACTTTAATACAAGTGACAAATACCTTATAGACTTGGAAAAAATTTTTCAAAAAAGACAAAAACTAGAGGGAAGATTCTGGAAAGGGAAAGGTGGCGCCGGAGTAGAGAGAAAAGGGGTTTCCTTTATGTTTTTAAGGATATAACATAAAAAGATGCCGTGGATATTTGACGCTATTTCCAAAGAAATCATTCTTTGCACTCTTTCCAGAGTCATCTTGCTCTGCCCAATGACACTGGAACGTTCATTTCCTTCAAAGATTATCTCCTGAAAATATCTGGCTGCCACATCTGACCTCATCCATCCACAAAACAGAAAGGGCCTTGTCTGCCATGATCTCGCCTTTCTTCCCAGTAGCAGCGTCCCACACCGTCCCACACCGTCCCACGCCGTCCTCTCTAAGCTGTTTGTCCTTGAGCCTATTCAAGTGACGGGCCAAGTGAAGAGGGGAGGACGGAACGGGCTCCGCCAGATTGCTCAAGTGCCAGAGTGGAGTGCCTCTTTGCAAAGAACCGTCAAGGCCTTTAGAAACACAGGGCTTGAAAAACATTCTAATATCTTTTGGAGAGGCCAACTAATAAGAAAAGAATTGGATGACCAAGTATCAAGATGATTCTTCCTATTGTGTTCAAACTCCTTGAAACCTCAGCCCACGAATGTCTTGCTGTACAAACTGTCATCAAACTGCAAAGCCTTCTGATTCTCAGCCACACATGTCTACTTAACCTGATTAAATATCGAAATTAGCCTGCAAATTTTCTTACTCTTAGGCAAAAGAACAGTTAACATTTCCAAGCAGCTAGTGAGCTTTAAATTCATTTCTATTCATTGCAAGAAGTGAGGCGTCTATGGTGAAGAAGACTTCGATCCCAGTCCTCAGATACAATACAGAGTTGCCCAAAGGTTCAAGTGCCTCTGTGTTTGCACTGAAGTCCTTTTCACCATTTACATAGTTCAGCAGCTAATTTGCTAGGTTGTCAAAAGTTTCCCAGCAGTCGGTCTCAGGAGTAAGGAGAAGCCATAAAGGATGATTATCTATCCGCATCAGTAACAGACCAAGCCAGACCCATGAAGCAAAGAGGCTTCAATGATCCAGTGTGTTTGGAATACTCCCAATGGCCAGTCTTGGGTATTCAAGCAACTATATGTTGATATGAGAACCCAGACAAATATTTCTTTTGCACCGAAGAGTGGCACTTACTGGCAAACTGCTGGGCACAAAGACTACAACAAGGAAAGAGAGCAAGCAGTGTGGATGACCCACTATGCTGGGGGGTCCGTGCTCTGAGCACAGGGACAGGAGGGCAGTCCCAGAGGGTGTGAGCTGACGGTGGTTTGGGGTAAACCCAACTTACCCGATTGTTTCCGGTCTGGTCCTTATAGTAAATCCAGTTCAGGCGCTCATCAGTCCTGTACTGGACGCTGTACTTGGTCATCCACTCATCGATGTCACAGCGCCCTTGAGTAAGTATCCCTGAAATCACCTTGATCTCCTTCAGATCTATCTGTAACCACTGGCTGCTGTCCTGAAACTTGGAGAGCCAGGCACACCTGCGGGAACACACCGAATCAGCGGGAGCCTTCCCCTGGGAATGCCGCGAGCCACCGGCGCCCCGAGAGCCCCCTTCCAAGCTCGGCCCATCTGAGCTGCAATCTCGTAAGCACACGGAGCCTTGTCTCCGAGAAGCGTCCAGCTCGTTATACTTGCACCTCGTTCTCTCTCTGCCTGCACCTCCACCTCCCATGAAAAATTGCCAGATTTAACCAATTTGTCAGAAAGTGCCTTTGAGTGTAGCTGAAACCACCTTTGGGTGTGGTCGAACATGTCTCTTCAAAACCCACGAGCACGTGGCTGTGCCACCTGCCCTTTGCGTGAGCTGCCCGGTGCTCCCCTCTCGGCCTGTCACGCTCTCCGTCCTTCCCGCGGCTCCCCCCAGTGCTGCCACCCCCGCATTCCGAGCACTGACCCGCCTGGATCTGGAAGGGCTTTGACAGGCGTGAAGCCAAGTAACTGCCAAAGCGACTAATTTGTCGGTTAGCTATATCCCCCGTAAACTGTGGAAACCGGCAGTAGCTTCCCTTCCTGCTTTTCCTATTGGTGCCCATTCGTTAGCTTCTCGGGACTTAGCCTTGGCTGCCTTCTCTTTTCCAGACTTGCTCCTTGGGTGGTTCCTGACTTTTTGCTTCTATCCCAGACCTTTTCTAAATTTCAGATCGAGAGTCAGTTGCCGGCCAGACAAGTTCCCCTGGATGTCTTACAGCATGTCAGCTTCAAGCTTCCTCTCCCTGAGTGCCACCACACCCTCCCAGACACCATGCAGCCACCTGAGAGCCATCCCGGGCCCTCTCCACCGCCCCAGCACCCAGGCCATCCATTAGCCCCGCTTCCAAGCATCCCTCTACTCTTTCTACTTCTCTCCATCCCCACGCGGCCACTCCTGCCTCTGTCCTCCTCCATTCTCGCCACACCCCATGTCACCAGTCGCCCTGGAGTGCTTTTGCCCCCACTAAACAGCCCACCCCCCAGGAATCGGAGAACTTTTGTGAAAACACAAATCCGCTTGTGATACTCCTCGACTTCAAACCCGTATCTGGCAGAGTCCGCTAATCGCCTCCTAATGTTCTCGTCCCATCTTCCTTTAGGGATAGAGCCCCGGAGTTTCATCTGGGCAAATGGCCACCCAGCTAAGATGACATTTCCCAGTCTCCCTTGCAGCTAGGTGGGCCCATCGGACCGAAGTCTGGTCAATGGGATGTGGGCAGAAATGGCCCATATGATATGCTCGTATCCTCACAGGCAAAGCGTGTGCACTGTGCTCCCACGGACTAGGATGCGGGTGTGGTGGTGGAAGCTAGAGCCATCTTGGGCCTCAAGAGGGAGGCTTCACGTTAAAGATGAGAGAACAACAAGGCAGGAGGAGTCTGGGCCCCTGATACCATTAAGCCGCCATAACAGCCCTAGAGTTCCTAGTGAAACTTCTAGGTGAGCGAGAAATACACTTCTACGTTGCTGAAGTCACTGTACTATGTGGTGGGGCTCTTTGTTACAGCAGCACAAACCCGTATGCTAATACGCACCCAGGGGCCTCCCATTATCCCTAAAACAAGGGCTAATGGGGCCACAGTCACTAACGTGACTTACAAGGTCCCGTACCATGTGACTTCCGCCTACGTGTCCGCCTCGTCTCACCTGTGCTCTAGCCTGGCACCTTCCTTATGTTCCCCATCCACGGCCTGGAGGTATCATCCCAACTCAGGCCTTCGCACGTGCTGCACCCCGGGCCTCTTCCCCGCCCTCGCCTGCCCACCTTCAAGTCTCGGGTCAAACATCTCCTCCTTAGAAAGCCCTTCCTGGCCTGTCAAATGGAGGAGGTCTGTCTTCGTCTCTGCCCCGCGCTCATCGCGCTTGCTGAATAGCCAGTGTGTGATGTGCTCACAGTCTACCTCCTCCTCTACACGGCGCGCTTTCTGCAGGCAAGGACCGCATCTGTCTCGTCCGCTGCTGCGTCCACAGACCTTGGCACGTGGGAGGCGCTGTCAGTATTTGTTGGGTAAATAAGTGCGTTCTGTGTCGTTCATTTATTAGACCCATTTTTTCAAAGCACAGGAAAAAGAAACCCCTGGGCCCACTGCCCTGCTTACCCAAAGCCTTGACTGTTGAGCCGGGCTTTGTTTGCGGTCCACGAGGAATACCAGCCCACGTACTGCTCTGGGTTGGAGCAGGTGATCTGGTCTGGCGTGACCTCCCCGGACTCAAAACCCAGGGGCTTGTGATATGGGCATTCTGGGAAAGGAAAAACAATGCACATTCGAATACTCATATCTCAACACTCAACAAGCACGAGGTGACTGTAGTAACGAAACAAACCCATCTCGTTTGCGCCTTGCAGACAGAGAATGTTTTGCTTGTCAGCATGGTTCACAGGGGGTAGAGCCGGGCCTTCAACTGTTCACTACTCATGCGAGGGGAGAGGGAAGGGCGAAATAAAGGGATTGCCATAGAGACTCACGACATTCGGAAAAGAGGGAAGTGGTTCTATGGCAACCTCACAAGGGGGTGGGGTTTGAGAAATATTTCACCTCCTCCACCAACTTAGGGATCTAAACACCAAAAACGTGTGCAGCGGACTATCTTATTTAAATGTCATTTCTCTCATTAGCTCAGGTTTAGCCATCCTGCGTGATGACATCAGGGTCCCTAATTGTCCCTGGGCAGCAGAGGATGCCAATTACAGGAACAAAACAATGGTGAGAGGCAAGAAGACAGACTGACTTCCCACTTGTAAATTGCAGTTTTCTCACCAGTGTAATGGGAAAAAAAAAAAAAAAATGGGTGAAATCTGCCTGAGGGTCTGTTGAATGAGGAACAGCTGAAAGGAACTGCTTTTTCCAAATGGGAATAGCCAAAGGTGGTTCTTATATGTTAATCGTCTCCTGCTTCCTCTTGTCTGTCTTCCTCCCACATTGAAAACAGCCTTGGGTTACCCGGTCAGAGACTGCCAACACCAACCCAGTATTCATTCTCCCCTTCCTTTCCACTAAAGAGCCCTAACTTTATTGGAGGCAGCAATGTGGCCAGCTAAGACAAAAAATCTTTCCCAGCCTTTTTTGCAGTTAGAAGTGACCACATGACACACTTTCTGACCAGTGAGATATAAGAGGATGTCTGCTGGGGATTTCTGGTCTGTCTGAAGGGGATTTTGCTTGCCCCTTCTTTCTTCCTGTTGCCTAGACCGAAGGAAGACCCGATGGCTGGTGCAACAGTAGCCACATTGCACCATGGGGTAAGGCCAACAGAACTGCAGAGACCTCAGCCCTGATAGCCTTAAGCAAGTCCCAACCCCTACTCTTTTTATCACGTGAGTTAAAACTCAACTCCTCATTCAATAAGCCACTATTTAGGGGGTCTCTTGTAACTAAACCCAGTTCCTAACTGAATTTCTGTAGAAAACAAATGATAAACGTATGTCAATACATTCTCCTACTTTTCTTTTTTTTTTTTGAGACAGAGTCTCACTGTGTTGCCTGGGCTAGAGTGCCGTGGCATCATCCTAGCTCACAGCAACCTCAAACTCCTGGGCTCAAGCGATCCTCCTGCCTCAGCCTCCCGAGTAGCTGGGACTACAGGCACTGCCACCATGCCCGGCTAATTTTTTCTATATATATTTTTAGTTGTCTGATTAATTTCTTTCTATTTTTAGTAGAGACGGGGTCTTGCTCTTGCTCAGGAACTCCTGAGCTCAAACAATCCGCCCGCCTCGGCCTCCCAAAGTGCTAGGATCACAGGCGTGAGCCACCGCACCAGGCCCATTCTCCTACTTTTCTGATTGTGAATGATAAACTCCAAATAAGGCAAATCACATTATTTTCTCCATGTGTAAATTTGAGTTCAGGCTGAAGAGCTGAACATATTTGCTGTAAAACTAGGGAAGTCTTTTTGGACAATTTTTCAAAAGTCAGTAAAGTTGAATGAATGAAGGATGCAAAAGCTTGAACGCCATCCTGAGGCTCCAAAAACCCTGTAGAGACAGTCATGCCCTGTCCCCACAGGCTGAAAACCGAAGGACAGCTTCAGACCTCTGGCACCAAAGGAACAGGCCCGACTCCCACCAGAGCCTGCAGCCCCGCGGGGCCGAAGGTGAGGCACCGCATCTGCAGTTCATTAAGTACCCAAGACTTTGGGAGTGTGTTGCAATAACATCAATTCCTGGGAGAGAGGAGAGGAGAGGAGCGCTTCCTGCCCACTCAGTCTTGCTGGTGTGGCGAATCATGGGGGGGTGGGGGGAGCCTGTCGAGAATGCAGTCTCCAGGAGTCCCCCGCGGAGCGTCTGCATTTTTAACAAGCACACTCTCCAAGCGCACTTTGAAAACCGTGGCCTGCCAGGGACGGCATTTTGTTGGCTGGCGGATTTGAGGGCCGAGGGCTTACGGGCTCCTCTGCCCATCAACTCCCCTCCAGCCTGGAAGACAAGCCCCAGCCCCCGTGAAGGAGGCGCAGGGCCCAGCGTAGAAAGCAGGGGTGCGGTTGGGCCCTTGGCTGTCACGACCTCAGTTTTTTAATCTGTAAAATTCTAACCGTGCCTGTCTCTGAGGCCCCTCCACCTCTAGCATTTGATGACCGAACCTTCTTTTTTTTTTTTTTGTTCAGGGCCACCAGCTCTGAGGGAGGAGGCAGAGGGGAAGGAAAAAATCGTCACCACCTCTCCCGATCACCTTATTCTTGGCATGTGGCTCTTTCTCTCTTTCTCTGCTTTGCCCTCGCATCCCTTTTGCCACGTCTTCCCAACTTACCCGTCTAATGACTAAGAGTGGGCCGCAGACCCCGCACGGGGACCTGGCCAGCGGCAATGGCCTTGGAGGCCTGGGAGGGCTTGTCCAGGCAGCGGAGAGTCTGTTGTAGCCTTTGTGATCTAAGACCTATTTGTCCAGACTTGGGTGCTGTACTTATTCTCCAGGGGGGACAACGATCTCACTGTCCCCGTGGCCTCAGCTGGTGTCTGGGAGCCAACGCCTGACTCGCAGGCCCCAAGCCTCATCCCACCGCCTCCCGGATACTCTCCAGGTGAATATTTCCACCTGCCTGACCAAAAGGAGCCCTGTGTCCTGTATGTCCAAACCGAGCCCTTCATCGTCCAGCCTCCAAGTCCGCTGCCCGGAGCCCTGGCTCTCAGGCAGTGACGCCCCCAGCTCCCCAGCTGCCTGACCCCAACACCTGGTGGTTTGGCCCAGGGCACAAAGTAGAGACTCTAGACCAATGGGGCCCCGCCCAAGCCGCAACCCGGAAGCAACCGGGGAACCGGAAAAGCCCCCGCCCCAAAAAAAAAAAAGCCGAAGGAAATGAACCGGGGGGGGGGCCGGCACAGCCAAGGTGCAGGAGGCCTGCTGGAGCCCTGCAGACTGGGAGCAGATCCCATTCTCCAAGTGTGGGCAAGCTGCTTACCCTCTCTGGGTCTCAGTTTCCTCATCTGGGAAATGGGCACGATAACAGTACCTGCCTTCGTAGAATTGCCGTAAGCTTAAGTGAGATGATGTCTGGAGACCGTAGAGTTTGTAGGGCACAGTGCCTGGCCAAAAAGCAGCAGGTAATGTTGGTGAGATGGGGTGAATTTGTGAGACTATAATTGAGATCTTCTTGAGTTTTGCATGTTTTTCTGGCAAAGACTCAACAGGGAGGAAATCCAGCACCCCGTACCCTACTCTGTCCTGTACATCACCCCCCCACACATAGATACACCTTCTCCAGAGAACAAGGCTAGCTCCACGTGTCTAATGGTGCATGCTCTCCTTGCCCCACGCAGGAATAGGTAGTGTGTGTGTGTGTGTGTGTGTGTGTGTATGAGAGAGAGAGAGAGACAGAGAGAGAGAGAGAGACAGAGAGAGAGAGATAGAGAGAGAGAGAGAGAGAGAGAGAGAGAGAGAGAGAGATCTGAGAGAGGAGAATGCTTGTTGCCAGCATCTCTCAGGCTTTTGGACTTGGGAGATCTGGGCCTCAACGGGAACTAAGGAACTAGCTGCTTGTCCTAGAGGAGGAGGTGGCAGCCTCAGCTCAGGTAGCGGTTTCTCCTGAGGGGCTGGACCATGGGCCCGGGAGCCCTGAGCTCTGAGCAACCTCCGGAAACTTGGGGAGGACCCTAGGACAGAGCTTGGCTCAGAGGAAGAGGAGCCACCAAGAGGTGTCCACCTTCCAGCACAGCTTGTGGGCCTGGCAAGGAGCCCGCCACCGGCCTGAGCCCAGGCCCGGCTCCCAGGCAGCCCTTGCAAGCTCATGGGGGCTTTGTGGAGTCCAAGGGGGAGAGAAAGGACCTTCAAGAATCCTGTCTTTAGACTCCTCGCGGGCCATAACAAGGGAGAACTCAAACTGGACTTAGTGTAGCACGGAAAATAGGAAATGTGATGTTTCCTCTGCTCTGTGCGCTGTGAAGTGAGCTGCCCTCCACTTATATTCCCGGGATCCTCCCTGACTCCTCTTTCCCCTCTTCCTCCCTCTGAGGTCCTGGTTGAGGCTGTCCCCTCCCCTCCCGCTTCACCTGGCCGAGCTGCTCATCCTGCAGGCCAGGTTCCAGGGCGGCCTCCCCAAGCACAGCCTGTCACTTGTCACCGAGCAGAATGCCTGCGCGGGCTAGGCGCTCACTAGCTGTGGACTGGAGGGATGAATGCAGGGATTAAGCAAAAACTGTCACCCCACTTTGGGCGGCCACTGGGAACAAGCAGAGGAAACGTCAGAAACAGGCTGCAGAAACTCAGGGAGGAAGTAGAAGCTAACTGCAGCCTGGAGAACTCCCTCTGGCCTAATCAGAAAGAAACTCCAGATCCAGCATAAACTAGATAGAAAGCTACACAAATAATGTTGCCGAAGGAATTAAGAGATTCTCACCAGACACACAGAAAATATGACCTGCCCAAGTTTTCCACTCAATGTAACTTTGTTGTTGTACCTGTTAAAGCTGTTTCTATACTCATTTCACTCTTAAGGAAAAACCTGCATCTCTGGGGGCTCGAGTGGCTCCTTTGAGCCATGACTTGATCATTGGATGGATAAAGGTATATTTGCAATATGCGGCTAATCCAAGCTACTCACACTAAACATTCTAGTCTTTTCTCTGCTGTCAATACTTTCCAGATTTGCGGGCGTGGAGCCCAGACGTGCACATAAAGAATGCCACCTAAAGAAACACAGAGCCCGGGGACATTCTGGACAAGCGATTCCCGGGAGACATGAATAGTATTATGCATATATTAGACTTGAATATATATGTCAGTAAAATAGAATATAGAATAAAAGATATAGAGTCATATTTATGGAAGAATAGATTATAAATTCAAATATAGAATATAAAATCTAGAATCGAAGTAAAGCATTAGTGAACCACTGGATTTCTTATACTGTTGATACCTTCCCTACCCTATTTTCTGCTCTCAGAGTGCTGGGGTAATCTTGGCTCAAAGGTAGAAAAGACAGAGCTTTTAGTATCTGTAATAGCGCTAAGCTGAAGATTAAGAGGCCACAGTGCACACAGCCTTCTGCTCTGCGGGGGGCGGGGGGCCACTAACAGCCAGAGTGCACGCGCCTGCCAACTCTTCCAAGTGACCCCCTGTCCTTCTGTGCCTTCTAGGGTCTTCTTCCCTCCTAAGCCAGGCTCTGATGGAAGCCCTGAATCTCGGGGTCCAGAGAGACCAAGCATCGTTCTTGACATACTGGTGACAATCTGAGGCGCTGATGGGCAAGTGACTTTTGGAAGCCCAGGGCTGGTCCTGCTGCCGTGAATCAGCTCTTTCATGGAAGAATGAATTAACACCAATGAATGAACATTTAACACTGAGGTTGTGGGTTTTTTTCCTTCCTGAAAATATCTGCGTTGTTTCAAAAGACAAAAACAAGAAACTAGCAGGGGGCGGGCAGGGGGGGACGCTTAAGCTAAAGGAATCTCTCATTTTAGAGCTTCAAGTTCATGGCAGTTGCGTAGAGGAGACAGCCTGGGGGACTGGGGTCGACTTCACATCCCTCGAACACATAGTCCTCAGTGTCACAGGTGATTGGGTCAATGAGGCCAATCCATATAAATAATCTCTTTTCAATTTTTTCTTGGAATTTCCTGGGGATGGAATTCCGGTACATCTGATGTCTCTAGTGAAAACAACATTTGTTTCCACTAAATGGTAAATCTCTCCAAGGTGGAGACAATGCCTTCATTTCTGTCTCCCTATCAGTGCCTGGCACATATAGGCACAGGATAAAAGACGGTGGAAGTGAATTATAAACGGGTTATTGAGGAGGGTGTTCAGTATCGGCTGAGCAGATCACAGCCACATTTAATGGCTGCCTGAGCTGGTGCTTATTGCTCTGCTCATGCCCGGGACCCCACCGTTCCCCTGGAGAATAGACTTCACAAACAACTTCCTACCCCTTTAGTAAACAGGAAACCAAGGCAGTAGAAACCATTGTACTCCAGCCCCCCTACGTGGCAATTTGCTATTTTAATGCAAATTTAACAAAATAATGAAGAGAGGCTCCCACACAGACACAGGAACCTGTCTCTCCCGGAGCTATTATTAGGCGATCACGTAAAGTCAATGAGACTGCATGGTGCCACCAGCAGCCCCAGAGAGGGGCGGCAGGGCCAGTTTCATGCAAGATAGGCTCCTGAGCTCTGGAAAGGATCAAGCAAGGCAAACATTTGCTGGGACAGCCCAGGCCTCTCTGCAAGTTGGGTCTGCTCACTCCTTCCTCAGAGTGAGCTCTTAGGAGGCAGGAAGAAAAGGAAGTCACATTTACTAGTTTGCTGGGTATAACACAAGCTGGTTTAATGCCTCATCTTATTCCTGGTAACCACTCCTTAGAGTACGAGTCAACAAACTAGGGCCCTCGAGCCAAATCTGGCTGGCTGCCTGTTTTGTAAATAAAGTTTTATTGGAACACAGCCATTTGCATGTAGCCAAATGCATATGTATGCTTTTACATGTCGTCTATGGCTGCTTTCAACTGTGTACAAGGGCAGAATTGAGTAACTGGGACAGACCACTTGGTCCACAAAGCCACAGATATTTACTGTCTGCTCCTTTGCAAAGTTTGTGGCCCCTGTCTTAGAGGAAAGCATTTATTAGTGAAGGTAGGGTACCTCTGCTGCAGAACAAATTGTTCTGGAAACCTCAGAGGCTTCACATCACACAGTGCAGGTTTATTTTTCGCCCAAGTGACTTGTTCATTGCGAGTGGGCAGGGGGTCTGCTCTGCGTAATCACCCGGGGACCAGGCTGAAGGAGAAGCCACTATCTTGACAGGTGGCTTCGGGGCAGGGAAAGGGAGAGCCAGAGAAACGGGTGCCAGCCCTTAAACACTTCATGTTGAAAGTGGCCTGCTCACCTTGGCTGCACCTGCTCAGATGGCACCAACTGGTTGCCCGGGGGCTGGGAAACGTGGGGGAAGCACGTGGCTCTCTGGCTGGCAGTAAGGATCTGGGCACAGTGATATCACCTCCATTGCACAGAAAGAGAGCAAAGTGGCGGTCCCAGAGTTCAGAAGTGATGCAGCCGGGGTTCTAATTCCGGTCTTTCTGGCTCTAAAACTCCATGCTGCCTACCATTCATTCACTTTGAATCAGTTCCATTCATCAATTTCATTGAACATCAGGGCCCATCTTAGCATCTTAGCCAGGCCAAGTGGAGATCCAGGAAACTGTTTCTGAACAGTGACCTCAGTGCGGCCTCTCGGAGCCGTGGCCAGTGTGAGATTTGAAGCTCAGAGGCCAACTGAAGAAAGCCCAGAGCGTGGTATTCAGGGGTTGATTCCGCCGCTTTGGAAGAAGGAGGAGAAATAGGGTGTTCCCAAGGACTGTTCCGATGTGGCGCCCCAAGGAGAGGGGACACTCACCTGGTATGCAGTCTAAGGAGGTGGCGCTTGCAGACCACAGAGCGTTGGTTCCTCCTTGGCAATCACACTTGCACGCCTTGTGGTACCAGGGCTCCTCACCCTCATCCTGCAGGCAGCCAGAGGGGCAGGATGTCAGAAACGTCAGGCAGAGGCGACTGTGGTTCCGGCACCACTGGAAAGCTCAAAAACCATGCTCATTTCTTACGCATTGTTTATGGCAGCTTTGCTGCAACGGCAGATTTCAATTATTAAGCCAGCCTTAACACACAGGTGCCACTCACCTTTCATTCTAAACGAGCAAATGTCTGCCACCGTGAGTGCCCGGCTAATAATCTCACAGACATTCCCATTATAGTTAACTTTAGGGACTTGGGGAACCCCAATCCAAGGTTGGACAACACCCCACACCCTCTGGAGCTTTCTATCTGGGGACCCAATTTTAACAGGTACTGGATTCAAGCTTGCATCATCTGAGTTAAGACCTGGTTTACTTTTATGCTCTCATTAAAACGCCCATCTTGGAGCTTGCCCAGGTAAAACGTGCTATTGCCACCACCAGAAAGGAAAAAAAGAGACCTTTAAAAATACATTTTTTAAAAAAGTGATAGCCCTATACATTATTTTTGGCTAGGAAACTCTTCCAAAGCAGTACCCAGCCTTCTCATTGCAACATACCTCAGTGGACGATAATCCCAGCGTGGCTGAGCAAAAGGACAAGAGAAGAAAAAGCACATTAATAAAAGAGAGAGAAATTCAACAAAGCCACTCATTACATGGCAAAGTGAAATGAAAATAGTCACATGAAAGTAAAAAGTCCCTTCTGGAAGATGTCAAGCTAAGTAAATATCTGCCAGGAAAAGCATCCACAGATGCTGAGAAACTAGGGACAGTAAAATGAAACAGAAAGGATAGGATAATATTATTATTATTTTTGTTCATTATGGAGTTTTGGGGAATACATTAATGCAGCAAAGTGGGGTGGGGTTGGCCTATATTTCTTACCATCAAAGGCAAGGCTGTTAACATTTTAGTATAAATCGTTCCAGTCATTTTTCTTTGTTTTTTTTTTAACATATTTGAGAGCCTACTATCAAAACAATGTTGTATCCTGCTTTCTTTTTCCACTTAACATTAACGATGTGAGCCTTTATTTTTACTTATTAACTCTCGTGATCACTGTCATCCCCGTCGCCCTCCTCGTGCCTGCCCAGCGTGCTGTTAAGGACTGGATTCCCACCCAGGTCCCTCGCTGGGCCACATTTACACTATTTAGGGTTAGGACATTGTGTCGAAACTCTTTTTTAGGTTTGTCCACAATGTACAGGAAATATCAAACCACGAAGTATAAATACTGTATATATAATGTGGGAAAATCGAAAGTGTGTAAAATTGAACATAAAACTAACATAAACTATCTTTTGAGAAGCATAAAGACAATGAATACACAATTTAGTAGGAAAAGAGTTTATATATATTAGCATAAACTGATTGCTTAAAGCCGCACTGCCCAGTACAGTAGCCACCAGCCCTGTGTGGCCCACTGGAATTTAGATGAAAATTAACAAAATTAAAAATTCCTCAGTCATACCAGTCCCATTTCAAGTGCTTCATAGGCACACGGGGCTGGTGGCTACTGTACTGGGTGACACAGACACGGACATCTCCAACACTGGCGTAAAGCACTCATGGGGTGTAGGAAACGCTACCCCCAAATATGGCCCCTGAATATTTTAGGCTGAAGGAAATTAAGAAAACCACAGAAGCAAGAAGGTCACTCTGGAACTCCTCCGGGTGACTGGCCACAGGGACACTCCAGCCTCCACCGCCGGCGACGGGGCTGAAGACAGACCAGGTGAGAGGCGCGTCGTGTGCGTCGCCACCCGCCGGCCGGGTCACGTGAAGGGCGCGCGCTCCCTCGCTTCCAGGCCGTCTCCCTGGGCGCCGCGCGCATGCGCCGGGCACGGGCGCCCCCACCTCTGCCACTCCGGGTTTCCCCCGGAGGTGTTCTCCCCGGATCGCCACTGGATACCTAGGCGGGACTTGCGCAAACATCTGCCTCAGCTCTGGGAGTGGGACTTGAGGAATCAGCGGTTGAGGATTAAGGTTCCAGGCGTCCGGGATCCAGCGTGGAGTTGTGGCGTGGTCTCACCTCCGCTAACCCGGCCTGGCCTCTGCCTGCGAGCTCAAGCAAACCAGTTCCCAACCCCCTCTTTGTGTCTCACCGTCTTTAAATATTGCTCTCTCCTCGTCCAAAGTGCGAAGTCATCTTCTTACCCCAAATCATGCTCTTCCTCTGGCCTCTCCTGTTGCTACCAGTAAAAATTCTTGGTTTAACTATAGGACTATGGTTTAACTATAGGACCATTCTTTACCCTCTAGAGATAGACATCACCCACAGACCCGCATACACCACGAACCTGAACCAAAGACCGTAGGTTGTTGCCTGGGTCTAATACATGCCTATTCGTCTGTCCGTTTCCTTTGCTCTCACACCAGCTCAGGTTTGGCTACTAGAGATAGTTTACTAAACGTTATTCTCCCCTATCTACTCGGAAGACCACAATCAGTTAAATTTTCTTTAAACATTGCTTTATACACATAATCTTTCTGCTCCCAAAGACTTCAAGAGTTCCTCAGTCTGACCTTCTATGATCTGATTCTATCTTATCTCTTTTTGAAAGACAACTTTATTGAATAATTGAAAACCACATTTTTAAATGTACAATCGGATACATTTTGATATGTGTATACACCCATGAAATCACCAAAATCAAGGTAGTGAATATATTCACCCTCAGGTTACTCCCTGCTCTTTATAATTTGTCCATCCTGTCCTTCCCCGTCATATCTCTTAGCAACTGCAGATCTACTTTCTGTCACTGCAGATAAATTTGCACATGCTGAAGTTTTATATACTGGCATCATACAATATGCACGGGGGAGCAGGGTAGGGGGGGCAGACTTCTTTCATTCAGCATAATTGTTACCTATCAAATGTTATGACCCACAATTCACTGAAGTGGGATCTTCAACAAAACTGATCAACCCACTGTTTTTTCCTAACAAACTTTGACCACACTTGTGAATAATCTTCTGGTATTGTGTTTTCCTTCCCCATCTGGCGGGTCCAGCAGGACCAACGTTTAAATATGTTTTATTAAATAATGTGTGTGTCATCCAAGATTGTCAGCCCCTTAGGGCAAGGATCTTGACTCATTTATACATGCATTCAATAAATGTTTATCTTCTAGAAAAAAAAAAAAGAAGGTCACTCTGACCTTGTACCACCCCCTTTCTCCTGAGCCTGGGCATAGAAACTAAAATTCCCCTCCCCGCTTCTTCTCTGAAGACCCTCACGGGACAGGTGTGCTGCCCTACACCTGGAGGGAAGAAATGTCACACAGGCCACCAAGAAGAATCTGAACAGATTGTTATCCCCAGTTGATCACCGTTAGATCATACCCTTTTGTCCTCCAATCATATTTCTTTGTGACTGTCCGTAAAAATCCACGGATCTTCCCGTTTCTTTGGGTCTTCATTTCTGAAGGCTCTCGTGCCACGTGAAACTTATTAAATAAATTTGTGTGCTTTTCTCTTGTTAATCTGTCTTTTTTCATAGGGGGGGTCTCAGCCCTGAACCTTGCAACAATTGAGGAAAAGATACTACTTTTTCTCCCAGTTAGCACCAAAACTCCATTTCCCATTTTCAACAAAACAAATACCTTTATTTCTTTTCTGACTATAAAAGCAACACATACCCTACTGTAAAAATTTCAAACAAAATCTGAGTGTAGAAAATGGGAAATAAAAGTCACTCCTTTAAGCATTTTGCTATTTAAAAAGTGAATCTGATGCCCGCAAAAAGCTTTCAGATTGATGTAGAGAGGAAAGGAATGGTCTCATCTTTTTCATCACAAGTACAAAAGCTATCATTTAAATAATACATTTTTACCCATTCAGCAGCCACTTTTGCTGTCCACCGTGAGCCTGACACCGTACTAGGGCCTGGGCTTTCTGAAATGGGAGCCTCACTCTCCACCCACAAGGAGCTTGAAGACTGGGGAGAAGCCAGACCACCAACAATGCACGTGGTGAGTACGCGGTGGATTATGCATAGGCCGCGATGGGAATCAAGGGGGCATATCTCTTAGCCTGGGGGGATTCAGGGCCACCCTCCAACTGCAACCACCACACCGCTGTCTCTCCTAGGCCCTTGTTCCACCGGTTATGTACCCACTATAGGCCGAACTGACCCTCTCAGGTAGCAATGAAGGTTAGGGAGTGCCATCTTGGTAGGAGGTCACCATAGCCCCTGCTGTAGTCAGGATGTTTGTGTCCCCCAAAAATTCATATGTTGAAACCTAATCATCAATGTGATAACATTAGGAGGTGGGGCCTTTGGGAGGTGAATAGGCTCTACCCTCATGAATGGGATGAGTGTGCTTATAAAAGAGATCCCAGAAAGCTAGCTCGCCCCTTCCACCATGTGAAGACACAGCAAGAAGGCACTGTCTGTGAACCAGAAAGCAGGCCCTCACTGGACACTAAATCTGCTGGCACCTTGACCATGAACTTCCCAGCCTACAGAACTGTGAGAAATAAGTTTCTTGCTTTATAAGCCACCCAGTTTATAGGATTTTATTACAGCTGCCTAAATAAACTAAGATAGTATTATGGTGCCAAACCCTGTGCTGACAAAGGAAGTTACCAGCAACTTCTTATTTTCAAATCCAATGGACTGTTCCCAACACTGACCTTCCATCTTCACACTGCAGTGTTGGGTGCTATCAGTCCCTCCCATGTTCCTTTAGCTTCCACCACTCTGGTAAAGCTCTCAGTCTCCTTTGAGAGCTCTGCTTCCTCCACCTACCCCATACATGGTGCTAAATGCAAGGTTCAGACTCTTGCATTGAATGGCCTACTGGATATCTCCCTGTCGATGTCTCTTGCTGTCTAAAACTGGACTCAAGGCCACGGGGCAACCTGAACTCTCACATGTTGCTGGTGGGGGTATAAGGGGATCTAGCCTCTTTGGAAAACTGTTTCTCAATTTATACTAAGGTGGAAAATATATGTGCCCTATGACCCGGCAATTCCACTTCTAAGTAGTTACCCACCAGAAATACACACATATATTCTTAAAAAATAAAACCAAAACCATGTAGTAGATTATTCAAAGCAGCAGTATTTGTAATACCCCCAAACCGGAAACACTCGTATGTCCGTCAAGAGTAGAGTGGCTACATCGCGGTACTCACACAATGGAACACTATCGCGCAATGAAAATCGACAATCTGTAACTACACGCCACAGCGTGGATGCATCTCACAGACAACGTTGAGTGAAAAGTCAGATGCTGAAGCGGATATACCACATGAATCTATTTAGAAACGTACAAAAGCAGGCAAAAGTAATCCATGCCACTAGACATTAGGATACTGGCTATGCTTGGGGCAGGGGAGTTAGGGAGGAGGCCCTGCGAGGGTGTCTGGGGCGCTGGTCACGTTCTGCTGCCTGATCTGGGTGCTGGTCACATGGGCATGGTCGGTGGTGAAAATTCACCGAGCTCTATGCTTGAATGTGCTCTTCTGTACGTCTGTTATACTTCAATGCTCATCTCCTTCCTCAGACTTTCTCCTTTCTCTACTTCCGACCTGCTAAATGGCTCCGCCATCCACCTACCACCCCATCCAGAGACCCG